ACTTCGTATCGTCCGGTGGCCTATTTTTAGATCACGAAGGTCACTCTGCCCTTATTGTGTTCCGATATTACTGAGAATTATCCAGAACATTCGACACAGTTATGTTGGATTCTTTGATCCTAAGCTTTCCTCTGCAGACTGTCATGCGCAGTGTATTAAAAGGCGTCAGAGTGGTCGTTTCCTTTTTTTCTGGTGCCACGCTGGGATCCGATATCCATCATATTAGCGAAGGGAATGAGATTTCTTGCCCATCGCATTTTCGTTTTTGCAGTGATATCCTGCATGCAGTCGAGTAATGGCAACTGGTCCTTCATTTATCTGTGGCTGGTGCTAGCTACACAGCAAGATTGAAGAAGTGAAGTAGGAAGCGGAGAGATAGGTGAGAACAAGAAAAAGTAAAGAAAGAAGGATATTTGCAGACTGAAATTAGCTGTGCGCGAGAAGAGGCGAATTATTGATAACTTTCAGTATCTATGTTTTTATGGAACATTGTTTGCTGCATTGCTTTAGCCGTTATAGTTATTATATTTTTACCATATCTCGAAACGTTTTTTTTTTCCAGAAGTGCTTTCAAACTGGCTTTCATTGCCCGGGGAATTGCACTTCGAATACCCGCCAAACCGAAGTGAATTCATTGCTGATCTCGAACGAATAGTAGACGATAAAGACGCGAAAGAAGAGAATGTGGAAAAGTCTTTTGTTGGGAAAGAACAAGAAAGTGGAGAAAGAAGGCCTGTTGCATTAGAAGTGGAGAAAAACATTGAATGTGATGGTCCACTGGATAGCGATGACGATGAAGTGCCGGAACGCGAGATTCCTCGGCAAGAAACAAATCCAGGAAAAGACAAGGTTTTTGAGAATTTTTTTTGTTTTTAACTAATGGATAACGCAAATAGATAGTTGGTATTAATTAGAATCGAAGGACCTGGCATAAATTTGTCCGGCGCATTGGGAGCATTCTAGTAATACCACAAACGTGGAATCCGCACACTGATTGCCCTGGTTTCCCGATATTGCCATTTAGCTCTAGATATCGTTGAGATGCATCCCCAAATGGATGCTACTGAATCCTAGCCTATTCCCTTGAACTTTTCTTTTTCAAATTTTTCAACTTGAAAAACATGAACTTTTCCAATTTTTCATCAGCCCACTTTGTCCATCTGTTATCTCTCACTTTTGCCGCACAAGCCGTTCACCTTCTCGTTCTGTCGTATATTGTTCCGTTGACTTCATTCATGCAAGAAGCGACCACAGTACTGAAGAATATCCGTAACTTGCTGGCTCTTACCATACGCTGTTTTTTGACTTTTAGTTAACTTTCTTCCCCAATAATTGTATGGTTTGTGTACAAAAATTCTTTAAATTGAGTTAAAGAAGTTAAAAAATTTAAAAAAATTAGGGTTTGGAAATTAAAAGAAGTTTAAAGCAATTGTTTAAAAGTTTAAAAAAATTAATTAAAAGTCCAGAAACACAGAATCTTAAAAATTTGTAATTAAACAAATTGTTTATTGAATTTGTACAAAACTATTCGTAGTTTTTTTTTCGTGAAATTAGCAGTTGTTGGTTCGTTGTCTGGTTGTCCTTCTCCAGCTATCCATCTGGCAGTTTTTCCAGCTTGCTTGTCCGGAGCTGCATCGCCTGACGGTCAGTCTGCTGTTTACAGTCCTGACTTTCGCATACTCTTCTCAGTTTTGGGTTTTAGTTACAGGGAAAGACGATAATGATCAAATTTATTCCAGGATTTAGATGACGAATTTCCTTACCGTCATGTGGAGGCGCCGCATTACATTCGGGATTGCATCGAGCAGCTCAACGAAAAAGAGGACTATGCGAAATTTGAAGCAGCTTTTCATGCGCTAGATCCATTGATCAGGTTATTTATCTGTGAATTGCTTCGATTTTCTGGAATATTTTAGGGTTTACTGTTAAAATCAGAGAAGGCGATACACACGGTGCGGAGGGGAGGAAGGATGCCAAACATTTAGTTTTCTTTTTCATTAAAAAAAGGAAATGGAACTGGAAAATTAACGCATCGAAAACGATGGTGATGGAAAAATGCCGGTATACCGACAACCAAATTACAGATATACGGTGTTGACTTGGATGAAATTAACAGCTATGTCTGACTTGACCAGGAATTATATGCGCCATAATCTCCAGACGAAGTACACACGTATAAGGGCTGAAAACTGATGCAAATTTTACTGCATTGTTATTGTCTTCAAAATAGAGATTATTAATAATGATACATATAAATTACGAAATTATCGAATCGGAAGGACTGCGCTGATCTAGTCAGTACCGCTGTGCGTAAGCCAGTGACGTACGGATGCGAAACATGGATTACCGATGAAAGCAGATTAGCAAAAGTCGGCTGTGACGGGGAGAGAAATGGATCGAAAGACGCTTGGAGTGCCTCTTCTGGGCCATGTAGGGATTTTAGTTCTTCATCAGAAGAGTGATGTACACAGTATGGTTGCGATGAAACTAGGAGTAAAATCTAGTAAATAGGGCATGTTCCTTGCTGATGAGCATAGCATATTAGCGAGGATACTCGCGAAGAAATTAACGACTACTTGGGCGAATTCCGAAGAGTGTACACACACACACACACACACAAACATACACACACACACAAACATACACACACACACGCACACACATACACACACACACACGCACACATACACACACCTGGTGAAAAGTACTAAGTGGAAATATGCAGCTTATTGGTCAAGGTTAGCGAGAATTTAGCTCGTAGCAGTGCGCACTACGTAGAACCTCATTTTGATTGTCCGAGCGGTTTTGGTGTTCTTGGCATAAAACTCTCTTCAGGCGGCGAGCTATCGGTTATGACGAATCGGCGAAGGAGCTGTTATGGAAACTTATCGAACTCACTGATCGCTTCCGCACCGAAAACTTCCAGGTATATGCGCGTTTCACTTCCACAGCTTGTTCAATGATTGCTTTTTATGAACATCGTGAATTTTGCCTTGCTAAGGCTTTTTTTTTATTTTTTTTATTTTTTTTTTTAGTTTATTGAATCAGATTTGCTGTGCAGAGGTTCACATAGTTTTCGGTTGTTCTGTTTACGAGTCGTTCAATTGTTTTGATGAAAAATTGGTACCAGCGTTGGCTGGGATGTTAAACCTATCATCTGTTTGCTTTTATACAAGTTTCTAAGAAGGAAATTATCGATGGTCATCGCAGTGGGTGATTGCCATTCGTACTTGGTACGTTTTGGTTAATCCCGGGTATCCCACCTTTGGTAATGAGCGAATACGACGGATTTTTTTGGCATGATTTGTTTTGAAGTTTTCGTAAAACGAGATTTTATCAGCAGCATGAAAATGATGTGCTGAACGATTGCATTTTATTAAATAGTAGGGAATACCTGGAAAATTGAATTACTTCTGTGGTCGTGTGCTTGAGCCAAGAAAATTTTGTTTTTTTTTTTATGAAAAAAGGGAAAATACTGTATAAATTTTAAATGATTTTATCATTAATGTATAAAATTCTCGTTTTTAGGAGAAACGTTTACAACTGATTGTATCCTGTTTATTGATGAGCCCACATTTGGGCAGTGTTGCTGTGGACTTTATGTTCTCCAGAAGGTTTGATTTCAATTATCATTGTGATGCCTAGAAAATTGAGTCTTTTTTGGTGAATTATATTACACAATATGTGGTTTAAAATAATTTGAAACGATAATTATGATTTAATTGAATAAATAAAGATCGGCTGAAAACTTGCGAAAAACAAAGCCCC